GTTTTGACGAAGAATTTATATCCGCAATCATCCGTCATTTTCAGCAGGGTAAATATTAAATTTTTTTTAATGTTTGTTTTTTTCATTATTAAAAGGTAATAATTTTTGTAATATTATTTAATTAACCTACGACGTCAATGCTCTTTATAACCTATAGTAATTATTTTAATGACTTATGTCAGTGATAAGCCGGTTTTAAGCAATAATATTATTTTGACAGTTTTCTCTCATTCTAATTCTTGTACGCTTTTTTATTGAATACAACTGTACCTAATAAGTAAAATTGTTTAAGATTTTGAAAAAAAAATAAAGATTTTGTTCTTTTAAACCCCTTTTTACTGCATCTTAGTGTATTATTTTTATCAATCCAATAAAAAAAATTTAATTTTTTGCTGTTATGCTGTTAAAATGTATTAGTATACCATTCAATAAAATCATTACCTGAGTATACTCTCTGAAAGAAAATTTTTGCGAAATGGTGTACAGTTTAGAAGAACGTATCGAAATAATTTTTATTTATGGTGCACAAAATCAATCTGCCTACAGGACTGCTGCGGAGTTTCGAGTGAGACATCCAGATAAAAACTTGTCCCATACTCATGTTAACAATATTGTGGCCAAATTTAGAGAAACTGTATCCGTAAAGAATAAAAAAAGGGAACAACCTCGCATCCTTGCAGAGAATGCTCAAATAGAGGTAAATATATTTTTTTATTTTGAACTCACACAAATTTTAAGCATAATGCCTTAAAACTAATTAGAATAATTTTAGGTACTCGGCCAGTTTGCAATTTCTCCTTCCATTTCACTTCGGCAAGTATCTAGAGAAACAGGCCTTTCTAAAAATTCTGTTTGGAGAGTACTTAAAAAACATAAGTTTCACCCTTATAAAATGAAAGCTTTACAAGCGTTATACGATGAAGATCCAGATCGAAGAGTCGAATTTTGTGAAGTTATAACGGCGAGAATAAATGAAGACCCTACACTTATTCAAAATATTTGTTTCAGCGACGAATGCACGTTTTTCCTAAATGGACAGGTCAATAAGCAAAATTGTAGGTAATGGAGTGATAACAATCCTCACATCTTTGTAGAGAAAGATATTCAGCACCCTCAAAAATTAAATGTGTGGGCCGGCATTTTGGGAAATAAAATTATTGGCCCAATTTTCATTGAAAGAAATCTTACGGGAGATATCTATCTAAACTTGCTGGAAGAAACTATTGATGTATTAATTACAGAAGAACTCGAAAATCAGAGAGATAGGGATGGAAACCCCATGCTTAGTGAGGAGAACCTTCACTTTCAACAAGACCACCTCATTATGCATTGCCAGTCAGAAATTGGCTCAACTTACGTTTTCCTGGCAAATGGATTGGCCGAAGAGGACCGTTAGAGTGGCCCCCAAGATCACCAGATTTAACCCCTTTGGACTTTTATTTATGGGGATACATTAAGTATGTAGTTTATCAGACTCCACCTGAGTCGTTAGAAGATTTACGACATCGAATAGTTAACCATGCCAAAACATCACACCAGAAACTTTAGAAAAAGTACGACAAGAATTTGAAAATCGTCTTCAGAATAATGGAAAACATTTTGAACATTTAATTAATTAATTAAAATATTTTACTTATAATAATTGCAATTTTTATTAATTGCACTCGATCAAAGTTTTTTTATTAAAATTAGAGAAATATTTAAAGTTGCATTAATATTTTTTGCAGAATCGTTTAGAGAATTAAAAGACCTTTCGAACAAGTTATCACATGACCTATAGTGCCATTGAAAATTTTGAAGTTGGGGTTGCTACCCCTGTTATGGTAGATCGGGGTGAGTTTAAAGGTGCCTTGTTTTGGTTCCCCCTTCGAACCCTCGAAACGGGTTTTTAATTTGTTTTTTTATCTATTTTCCCTTTAAAGATATTGGCCATTGAAAGTTTTCGACGGGACACACTGTATATGAATACAAAAATTATTTGGAATGAAATACGAATTCTTTTATATTTTTTCTATGGAAATTGAAACTGGAAATAAAAAAAAAAATGTGTGCCAAGACCACACTGATAAAGTAAGACCTTTTACCCCAAAAAGTCGAGCATTTGATGTCCGTCATTTTGAATCCGCAATTTTGTTTTTTTTAATGGATATCAAATTCTTAATCAGAGTTAAAAACCCTATAAATATCTAAATACTAAATTTTACCCAAACCATTAAAGCCGAACGACAAATTTTTGTCATATTGGATCAGCCATTTTATTTTTTTTTTAAGAAATGGATATCAAATTTGTAATCAGCCACATGATGTTGATAAGTTTATTGAATAAGCAAACGGTTTTTTTTAATAGTATAAGGAGTGCCATAGATGGTTAACGTTAAGTTGTGATATAAAATAACACAACGTTAACCAGAAACAAATTTTGTTTATTATGAAATGCGAATAATGTTCTCATTGGTCCATTTAATTTGGCCAGAAAAACGTTTTGTCGATCTCCGAATTGGCAAGATTTGAAATTTGGAGCACAGACAGTCTGTGATTTGGAGGTCGGGAATCTTAAAATCGATTTAATATTTTGGGAAAATAGCAAAAATTTGAAATAATCGAGGAAAACGAGAGAGATCGAGAGAAACGAGAAATTCTTGAGCGAGAGAGGGCATTCTCTCGTTTCGTCTCGAGCCTTTTTTTCCAGAGAAAATCGCCCTCTCGCACAGTGGTTTGAAAGGCAAATTTACGCGGCAAAAATCAAATTTTTAAAACACTTTAAAAACGTATTTTGGCATCTTTATTGTTCGTGACAGATTATTACCTAAGATTTTAAACTGCGAAGTAGAATTTACTGCGTATGCGTTGCGCAAATACATGAAAAGATTGTCAAAAATACTGTTACTTTCGGAATCTTGTCTTTTTCGTGTAAAAAAGGTGTTGCGTAAATATAATAGTGAAAATTAGTGTCAAAAATTTATAGTAGGGATAAAGTTGAGTAAAATACAACTTTAAAATGTCTTTTTTGGATTTTTTGCCAAAAATATAGGTAGCGTTTTTTAACCTACAAATTCTCAAGTTTTGTAATTACAAATAATAAATGGAATATAGGTAAGTAAAAATTTATAATTACTTACTTGCCCAGAATCACATAGTGCATTCGAAAATATGAACCTCCAGCTCCGACTTTATAAAAATTCATCTGCCTTTATGCGCCTATAAGAGAGTTATGCAAAAATGAAAAATGGCCGACAAATTACCGCTAACCTGGTCATAAAAGTAATATATTTTTTAAATTTGACAATAATTATTGCATTTAAGAATGGTAATACAACTTTCTTTACTCCTATTACATAATATTATTTTTTTAATATACTTTGTATATTATACAGTGTGCCCACGGATGGTAATGACAATAGAAAAAAAACTTTTTATTAGATATGATACGAAAAAAATTATGTTTTTTAAAAACTCTTGCTTGTTTCCAAAATAAGATTCCTACACAAACATTTTGAATTAAATGTACAGGGTGCTCAGAAAAAAACCCAAAAAAACCAGAAGTGCATTTTATGGAAATAGGAATTCTTTTTGAAAATATTTGATGGTTAAAAATTAAGACTTTCATAAAAAGATGAATTATATATACAGGGTGCTCAGAAATTAAAATATATATATATATCAAAATAAGAGAGTAATCTGGTAAGATATATATATATATATATATATTCGTAACGGAATCGCAAAAAATCATTCTTCATAAAAACTAGTTTTTAGAAGCTAAAAAAACAGCAAAGTGCTTTAAGAGGGTGGTACAATAATTACTGTTCTATATGAATTTCATTTTTAAAACAAGCAAGAGTATTTAACGCATAATAAAAATAATAAGTTTTCTATTGTCAACCATCACGATATTGGCTAAAGGGTTGTTATGGTGAAATATAAAATGTTGATATAATAATATATTTTTGCATGATACTTTGAAGGTTATGGTTTTTCGGTTATTCATGATACAAAATTATGCTTGCGCCACGTTGCAATCGCCTACATTGGCGATCGCCCCCTGGCACGAACTATTATTTATTTAATAAATAAATTATTAAATATAAAACATAAAAAAACAAAAAATACACAAATATTAAAAAAAATCATTTTATATCATTTAGCTAGACTTAGCCCCCTCAATACCAAATATTTTTGAAAAAAATTATATAAGAAGTAAATTTAGCACCCTTAAAAATATAAAAAACACACGTCTTGGGAAAAATATTTAAAGAATAATTTTTGCCGCGTAAATTTACCTCTCAGACCACTGTGTCTTGTCCCTAGACAGGGTCTTGTCTCGTTGAGACGAGACGAGACGAGAGGCGAGAATCTCTCCTATCGGCGGCATCACTACTTGCGCCCTGATAGCACAGTTTATTCTAAGAATGTTTTTTAAACCTTCCAGTGGGAATATTCTTAGGATCATGCTATATTTCTTCTAGTCATGTTCTAAGAATGTTTTTTAAACCTTCCAGTGAGAATATTCTTGGATCATGCTATATTTCTTCTAGTCATGTTCTAAGAATGTTTTTTAAACCTTCCAGTGAGAATATTCTTAGGATCATGCTATATTTCTTCTAAAGAACATGCTTAAAAGAAATATAGCATAATCCTAAAAATATTCTCACTGGCCTATAGGCAGGTTCTTAGAAGGTGTAAAGTTTAGTGGTAAAAATTAATCCACTCTAAACATATGCTTAGAATGTTGAGAAAGTAATTGCTATAGAAAGTCCATTTAGGAATATTCCTGGAACATTCTGTTAAGCATATTCAGTTCAGTTAGGTACCTATATAATAGTAAAATATACCATATCTACGTATTAAGGTACCTATACTTTTTTTATAGTTATTTGTCAAATTAAAACAATATTTCTAAATATCTCCTAAACCGTTACTTTGCGGACCCATGTTTACTAAGACTTTTCTGCTTATTTTGGTCCATACTATTACCTCTTTATATATTTTACTTTTTTTACCACCCTGTATTTCAGGTCGTTTTTGGTAGGATTGATTTTGCACACGTTTTTGTTAAGACAGGGGTTGTTACCAGTATGACCCGAATTTGTTATTTTCATTTTTCTTGGCTGCACATCAAAATTAACCCACTCTAGGTTTGGTGTTTCAATTTGCACGGTGCTGACAATATTTATATCTATAGGAGATAGAGGTATACTTTCTGTATTAGCTAACCTCCTAACGTATCCTTGAATGGTATCATCCTCATCTAAATCTTCATCATCTATATCTGGAAATTCATATATTTTTTTTAAGTTTCCATAATTAAAAGATGACAAACCCTCAGGATATTCGTTTAAATCTTCTTTTTCTATGTCTTCTTCCATAATTTAATATACTTTTAATTTTGATAATTTGATAAATGTCAGAAATAATGAGCAAACACAATGTGTCATTTATAGATAAAAAATCATTATTTCAGCATCCAAAAGATCGTGGTGATGGTTGTCAAAACATCGCCTGTAGTTGTCCTTCTGTGGGGCTACAGCCTGGTAATCTTAATATTGATACTAAACAGAAAAGAGCAATTGAAAGATGGTCTTATTGGCAAACTCAAAGAAAAAAGATTTACAAACATCTTTCCGCAGCTATCAGCAGACCTGCTGGCGATCTTCTTATGAATATTGGTGATTACATGTTTCATATTAATGAGGAGAAACGTATTTTTGAGTATGCGAAAATTCCCTTGAAGTTCGATAAGTATAGAGGAAATCCTGCATTTTGGAAGACACCAGTAGGTTTAATAGACCGATGTAATCCAAAATTGGATCCTATTTATTTGACCCAAATGACACATATTGAAAGAAATGTTGTCCCACCTACAGAACACGTGTGTGTACCAAAAAATATACTAGCTGAAAGGTCACTTTATGAAACAACCAGGTACTTTAAGATATATATAAGTTACACAGATGATTTTAATTATTTAGCTCCCAGAAATATTACCAGGGTGGACACTTTTATGAAAAACCTGTTAGTCAGGATTTTTTTATGAAAAATTTACAAATTTGTTTAATGGTTTGTTTAGGGTCATTCGATCGTTTCGGTTGTTCAGCCAAAGTCTACATTTTTATGTATTTAAAAATAACATTTCTCTACGTTTTTAATTTTTTTATCTAAATTGTAAAATTAGTACAGTTTAGAATATAGGATAAAGATTGTATAAGTCAAAAAGTGTGCGTTTCGGGTGTTTCACGATTCTGCCTCTATGTTCTGACCATTGTTACATTTATTTAAAATTCAGCGAATTTTCTTAGGGAAACATTTCTAAAAATTACAGGCCTCCAAAAGTATAATATTTAACAACCATATAGTCCGGTCAAATTAGACCAAAAAATAACAGTGAAGGTACATAAATTTACAACAAGCTGAAAATCAGTAAAATTGTTCAGAATATAATTATAAATGAAATTTTAAAGTTCCCCATCATTCCCCTGTATGGAAAATTTTTTATTCAAGGTCAAAGGTCAAAAAAATTAGTTTTTCGCGATTTTTATCAAAACGGTAAGTTTTATCATAAAAATACCCTAAACAAAATTGTAGATCATAAAATTATCTATAAAAAATGTATTAATACTTTTTTTCCTACGAGCCACCGTTTCTGAGATATAACGATTCCAAAAGTTGTAATCGTCATAATATGCACGCCAGGTAGCTCTAGAGTTGTAATATATGTTAAAATATTTTTTTATAGGTCATTTTAACTTACACTTAAAATATAAAGTATACCTACATAAGTTATAACTATAAGAATATCAAGTGAAATAAAACCCAGTCCCTTAAGGGACTGGGTATAAATTAATTAATTTATACGCCATTGTAACCTTGAGACAAAATCTGTGACAGATGACAGATGATCTGTCTCATGTTCAATTGTTTGACCTGCTATAGTTGGTGCTCGCTGCGGGTGGGACTCGCGCCGCGACCGCTCCACCTAAACTGGGTAGTAATTTTAAAGATGAATTTTATATTTCTCACGTCTTCTGTCACCTTATGTTATCTGTCAATTGTAATCTGTCTACTGTCATTAGTTACTTGTCATCTGTCAACTTGACATCTGTCACCTGTCATCTGTCATCTGTCACCTGTCATCTGTCATCTGTCACCTGTCATCTGTCACCTGTCATTTGTCCCTGTCATATGCCACCTGTCATTTGCCACCTTATCGATTTGATTTCGAGGATTTTAATTGGTTAACGTTTTTAAAATACCCAACAAAAATTAAACGGGCTTCTGGCCGATTAGTTTTTATTCGATGAAGCTCATCTTTTAGTATGTCAAACCGCCGTAGATCGGAGGCCGTTGAAGGTTGAAATTTGCATCCTTTTTTTCTGCCCACGAGACCTATCCGCGGACCAAATTTTTCCGGTGTCGAAAAGGTCCAAGTCCACTTTTTTTCGATTTTTCCGTCAAATTTGGCACGTTCCGTTGTCTTCGCTTAACTTTCGAACGAGCGGAAACTCGAGGAAAAGGGTCTTCGGGACAAGAAGTTATCGGCATTCGATTTCTTCTTTCTATATGGGGCAAAATTTGCCAAGTGTACCAGGTGAAAAAAATTTTGTCACCGATTTTGTTTAAACTTTACTTATTTGTTGTTCTTATAACGAAGAATCATAGCATAAATTTTTTTTGCTCTAGGATTGTTCATTCAAGAGTTATGGATTATTAAAAGTTATCGATTTTTTACTTTTTGGTGAAATCGCTTTTTATTTAAAAATTCATAACTTCTGTTCATCTCTTTATTAAATATTTCAATTTAACCACCTTAAATGATTTTTTCCGCACTTTTCAATGGGCTATACCGTTTTTGCAAAAAAATAAAAATTGCAATTTTTTTTTGAAATTTTGCAAAATTTTGCATTTTTTGAAACAATGTGTATTTTTTAATTTTTTTTAAAATAGCATAAAATCCAAGTTTATTATGTTACCTTTGAATAAAAAAAAAATTTGGAGTGAGCCCGACATGTAGAAGGGAAGTTTTTCATATTTGAATGCCGCACGGTCTAGCCATCGAATTGCTACTACACTGCCGTATGCGTTTATACCTAGTAGATGCGAGTAAACGAATACAAAATGATAATTTAAAATGTAAAATTATGTTTGAGTAGTCAATGATGTATTTTAAATATTTACACTGCCGCACGATATAGTTTTTTTTATTGTGTATTAGTCCTTCGGAGGGGACTTTAAGCCCGCGGTCCGTTCCTACCCCTAACCCGCACAAGCCATTCAGTTGGCTTATGGGACTTCTTAAGAAGTAAGGGTGGAACTAAAAGAGCACTTTTGTATATAAACTGTATTTTTTTGCACAAATTGTTTAAGCATGGGTCTACATAGATTTCACAAGGAGGGTCGATGATATTAAATAAAAAATGTATTGTTATAACCGTAAAGGCGCCATTCAGCTTATAGGCAAGCCGTTACGGTTATAACAATATTTTTTTTATTTAATATCATCGATCCTCCTTGCGAAATCTATGTAGACCCATGCTTAAACAATTTGTGCAAAAAAATACAGTTAAAAAACTATATCGTGCGGCAGTGTAAATATTTAAAATACATCATTGACTACTCAAACATAATTTTACATTTTAAATTATCATTTTGTATTCGTTTACTCGCATCTACTAGGTATAAACGCATACGGCAGTGTAGTAGCTATTCGATGGCTAGACCCTGCGGCATTCAAATATGAAAAACTTCCCTTCTACATGTCGGGCCCACTCTAAATTTTTTTTTATTCAAAGGTAACATAATAAACTTGGATTTTATGCTATTTTAAAAAAAATTAAAAAATACACATTGTTTCAAAAAAAGCAAAATTTTGCAAAATTTCAAAAAAAATTGCAATTTTTATTTTTTTGCAAAAACGGTATAGCCCATTGAAAAGTACGGAAAAAATGATTTAAGGTGTTTAAATTGAAATATTTAATAAAGAGATGAACAGAAGTTATGAATTTTTAAATAAAAAGCGATTTCACCAAAAAGTAAAAAATCGATAAATTTCAATAATCCATAACTCTTGAATAAACAATCCTAGAGCAAAAAAAATTTATGCTATGATTCTTCGTTATAAGAACAACAAATAAGTAAAGTTTAAACAAAATCGGTGACAAAAATTTTTTCACCTGGTACACTTGGTAAATTTTGCCCCATATAGGTACGGAGCTCCTAAAAAAACTACCTGCTTTGATAAGTATCGATATGCATGTTTCGTTAAAAATTCTAAAAGTAAAAATCAAGTTCAATTAGCTTGTCTTCCTCCAACCTCAGTTGCTGCTCATCAACATCTTTTTCGGGTATATTACCATGTTCAAGTGTGGCTTGGTTATCAGCTAGACCCTACAGACTAGGGTTGGAAGTTGGTCAAAAACACATTAGAACCAGTTCAAACTTTACTCCCACCTGCGCCGGAAAAACTGCTGAACACAATTTTTTGCAACTGCAAAAAGGGATGCAGTGCTAAATGTGCACATCCTAGAGCAAAAAAAATTTATGCTATGATTCTTCGTTATAAGAACAACAAATAAGTAAAGTTTAAACAAAATCGGTGACAAAAATTTTTTCACCTGGTACACTTGGTAAATTTTGCCCCATATAGGTACGGAGCTCCTAAAAAAACTACCTGCTTTGATAAGTATCGATATGCATGTTTCGTTAAAAATTCTAAAAGTAAAAATCCAGTTCAATTAGCTTGTCTTCCTCCAACCTCAGTTGCTGCTCATCAACATCTTTTTCGGGTATATTACCATGTTCAAGTGTGGCTTGGTTATCAGCTAGACCCTACAGACTAGGGTTGGAAGTTGGTCAAAAACACATTAGAACCAGTTCAAACTTTACTCCCACCTGCGCCGGAAAAACTGCTGAACACAATTTTTTGCAACTGCAAAAAGGGATGCAGTGCTAAATGTGCACATGGTTGCAAAAAAGTCGGACTGTTTTATTCTCTGGCATGTACGAATTGTCAAGGCCGGTCGTGCTCTAATGTTGAATCACCAACAGTGGAGGATTCATTTAATTCCAACGAGGTGAGATATTAGAGCACGACCGGCCTTGACAATTCGTACATGCCAGAGAATAAAACAGTCCGACTTTTTTGCAACCATGTGCACATTTAGCACTGCATCCCTTTTTGCAGTTGCAAAAAATTGCATATGCGATACATCGCTATTGACGCAATTTACTTGAACCCAGGATGAAGATGAAGAAGAAGAACAAGAAGAAGAACAAGAACAAGAAGAAGATCAAGAAGAACAAGAAAAAGAATTTAAATGTTACGAATCAGACTTCAGTACTTTTTTTAAATTTACGCTATTATCTTTTCCAA